AGTTGTAGCAGATGTAGTGGACTCAGGAGGAGAAGTTGCTTGGGTTGTGGTGTCCGTAACACTTGTGACAGTTGTGTCTCGTGCAGTAGTAGATGCATCAGGTGTGGGACTAGTGGCAATAGTTGTTGCAGAAGCGGAGGACTCAGGAGTAGTAGTTCCATGGGAGGTGGTGTCTGTACCACTTGTGACTGTTGTGTCTCCTGATGTAGTAGATGCGTCAGATATGGGACTGGTGCCAATATTGTTAGCAGAGGTGGTGGACCCAAGAGGAGTAGTTGCCTGAATAGTGGTGTGTCTAACGCTTGTCACAGTTATGTCTCCTGCCGTAGTAGGTGCGGCAGGTGTGGGACTAGTGGCAATAGTTGTAGCAGATGCAGTGGACTCAGGAGGAGAAGTTGCTTGTGTTGTGGTGTCCATAACACTTGTGACAGTTGTGTCTCCTGCAGTAGTAGATGCATCAGCTATAGGACTGGTGCCAATATTGTCAGCAGATGTGGTGAACTCAGGAAGAGTAGTTGCTTGGAAGGTGGTGTCTGTAACCCTTGTCACAATTGTGTCTCCTGATGTAGTAAGTGCCTCAGATGTGGTGGTGGCACCAGAAGCAATGGCAGATGTAGTGGACCCAAGAGGAGTAGTTGATTGGATAGTGGTATGTGTAACCCTTGTCACAGTTGTGTCTCCTGCTGTAGTAGATGTGTCAGGTGTAGGACTAGTGGCAATAGTTGTAGCAGATGTAGTGGACTCAGGAGTAGTAGTTCCTTGGGATGTGGTGTCTGTAACACTTGTCACAGTTGTGCCTTCTACTGTAGTAAGTGCCTCAGATGTGGTGGTGGGACCAGAAGTTGTGGCAGATGTAGTGGACCCAAGAGGAGTAGTTCCTTGGATGGTGGTGTCTGTAACCATCGTGACAGTAGTGTCTCCTGCAGTAGTAGATGCTTCAGATATGGGACTGGTGCCAATCGTTGTAGCAGATGTAGTGGACTCAGGAGTAGTAGGTGTTTGAGTGGTGGTACCTGTGACACTCATGGTAGTGGTGTCTCCTACTGTAGTAGATACTGCAGACGTGGTGGTGTCTCCAGAAGCTGTGGCAGATGTACTAAGCGCAGGAAGAGTAGTTGTTTGGGTGTTGGTGTCTGTAACCCTAGTCACAGTTGTGTGTCCTGCAGTAGTAGATGCTTCAGGTATGGAACTGGTGCCAAAAGCTGTAGGTGATATAGTGGATTCAGGAGGAGTAGTTGCTCTGGAGGTGGTTTCTGTAATCCTTGTCACAGTTGTGTCTCCTGCAGTGGTAGATGCGTCAGATATGGGACTGGTGCCAATAGTTGGAGCAGACGTAGTGGACTCAGGAGGAGTAGTTTGTTGGGAGGTGGTGTCTATAACATGTGTCACAGTTGTGTCTCCTGATGTAGTAAGTGCCTCAAATGTGGTGGTGGCACCAGAAACAATGGCAGATGTACTGAACCCAAGAGGAGTAGTTGCTTGGATAGTGGTGTGTGTAACCGTTGTCACAGTTGTGTCTCCTGCCGTAGTAGATGCATCAGGTGTGGGACTAGTGGCAATAGTTGTTTCAGAAGTAGTGGACTCAGGACTAGTAGTTTCTTGTGAGGTGGTGTCTGTACCACTTGTGACTGTTGTGCCTTCTACTGTAGTAAGTGCCTCAGATGTGGTGGTGGGACCAGAAGTTGTGGCAGATGTAGTGGACCCAAGAGGGGTAGTTCCTTG